TTGAAACATTAATAAAATTAAACACTACCTGCCATTATGATAATATATATGATATGATAATATATATTGTAATTTTTTTATCAGAATTCTAAGTTTTAAATCAGCATTTTTAATTTTATTGTTTTAATACTTATTTCCATTTCCAGGGTAAAATTAACAAACACAAATTTATAAGTTCTTAAAATATATCTGTTTTAAGTTTCTTTTTCTGACTTCTAAAATTAAAATTTTATAATTTGTATTGACTGATGGAATATAAGTGTAAATAAAAGCCCTCTCAAAAGGCTTAAAAGACTAAATTTTTTCGTATATGGTGGTCTTACCTATTTACAGCATGTCTTCTTACATTCTTCCTTGCATTAACATTATAGAATTTATCTTGCATTCTTGAATAAAGGTAATCTGTTTTCTTGTAATCTTGTTTAGTTTGAAAATTAAATTTTATAAGTTAGCAGATACTAACCATCTTCATAAACATATATCACTAATGCCAATAGTGGATTGTTATTTTCATAGAACATTGCAAGCTAAGCTGTAATTGCAACATAAAGAATATATAAAAATAATTTATTAATGTTTCTTTAATGCTTGTTTTACAGGTACTGATGTATCTGTTGCAAGAAATAAAGGTATTAAGTGTCATAAGTATTCTCATTCTGAATCTCCTAGAAGGGCAAATTCTGCATTGCCTCTGGTGAATGCCCTTTTCAATGTAAAGTGTTTGATTCAAAACAATATTTAAATGTGCATTATTTTAAGCAAATTTAATTTTTATTTACTTGTTTTAAAAACCCTCTTTTTAATTTAAATTCAAGCTTTGAATTATAAGCAATGACCGTTTATATGACTGATAGTTTCTGTATTTTATACAGACCTTTTTCACTTACCTTTGAATTAAAGGCTTTGATGAACCTTTCATGTTATAAGTTATACTGTTGGTATTTTATTTCGAAACTAGCTCGCTTATTTCTGCTGTCAAACTAAGAGAACCACAAATTGGACAACATAGGAAGAATAATACATTAAAATAACTTAAAAGCATTTTGTCTCAGAACAGATCAAGAAAATTAATAATAATAATAATTTAAGACTTTATTTCAGAGTTTTTTCAGAAAAGAAACAAAGATCCAGTTGGACCACTCTCCTAATAAAGCCTTAGTAAATAATTTCAAAGAAATAGAAGAGAAATTTATCTCATAACCTTACGCTTTTTCACAACTGATTGATATTAAATGTTATTTGGTCAATTCTTTGCAGTTTTACAATTATCTTTGGTTATTAATGTTTCTTTGTTGCTTGTCTTATAGGTACTGATGTATCTGTTGTAACAAATAAAAGTATGAAGTGGCATAAGTGTTCTCATTGTGACTATGAATCACCTAGAAGAGCAAACTACATACGACATCTAAGATGCCACACCGGTGAACGCCCTTTTCATTGTAAAGTGTGTGGCAGAGGATTTTCCTCAAAACAATATCTAAATGTGCATTATTTTAAACACATTTAATTGTTTAAAGATCTCATTTTTTAACGCAAATTATAGCATTGAGAAGATGTTTGAATTCAAGTAATGACTGTTCATTTTATGGTTCATGGTTTCTTTATTGTATACAGACTTTGCGACACTTACCTTTGGTGATTTGTTATCTATAAACCATATTGTTTGTGAAATTTCACAAAAAATAAATGATGTTTTTTCTTTTTTAAAGTCTGTTTTGGACTTTATTTTGTTATTGGATACTAACGTAAATTATGCCAGTTACTTTGATTTATTATTTATTATAGTTATGAAATAAATCTTGAATTGTGGCCAATGAATAGCTGAATAGTGTTATTTTGTGTTTTATTGATATTTTTGTGTGTGAAATATTGGATTGGAAACTAATTTCCCGTTTTATTTTTTAAATTTCAATATTCCTTGTGCCATTCCCACAGAATCTATGTTTTATTTTTTTGTTCTAGTTAATTAATTTAGTATGTTAATTTAAGTTAGTATGTTAATTTTCAGTACATTGAAATGGAGTGCCAACTTGAGAAAAAATGAGTTTTTTTCGTTACCTTATTTTTGTTTTAGATCAAGGTTCTAAGACTGCAAAAACTGCTCGTGGCATTTTTGTGTGTTTGAAGAGAGTGAAAGAATCGTCTATGATTTGTTGTATGTCAAGGTTAAAAATGGAAATTTTGACATCAATAATGCACCTCATTCTAGTCAGCCAGTTGAGTTCAATGAAAAGCTATTAAATAATTTTCTTCTACAAAATTCTACTTCAAACGATCAGGAAATGAGAGAAAATAGAATGCTCCCACATTTTCAACTTAAATGACAGTAACTTAGTTGCCAACCCATTATTTCAAGAAATAAACGATGAGCATTTTTTGATTGTTATAAAATGAATGATGGAATGCAGTTAACAATAACCATTCACCATTTATTATTTTTAAAGTAATTTTTTATGATTTTTGAATTTTTGTTTGATGTACTTTCTGTCCCTTAAATTTTATTTATAAAGAAATAGGTTATGATTCTTAAATGTATCCACTCATATTTATGAAATTTTAAGTGCCAACTGAAACTAAAAATTAATTTTCATAGTCTTATCATCTTAAGTATTTTGCTTGAATTCAATATCGCATTATCTTATTGCTTTAAAATGAAAATTAGTAATAATATTAATTTAATTTTATTTATAATTTATTTATTTAATTTTATTCTGATCTGATATACTTTTATTTAAAAAAGAGTATTTTTCCTCTGAAAATATCCTTCTTTCTAAAAAGATTGGAGTCCTGACTTGGACATGGATGAATGTAATTTTTTATGGTGATCGGAGTCAAATTTTAGTTGTCCCGGACAAACAGACCTCTGTTAATTTCAAGCCCAACTTCGCATCATTAATGTTTTCACTAATTCATACAATCTACATCTGAATTTAGAGTGACATTAGAAGATATTAGATAACAATCAATAACTGAATACCAGAGTTGCATATGTAATGTATGAGGAAACAATCAATAACTGAATACCAGAGCTGCATATGTAATGTATGAATAACTGAATACCAGAGCTGCATATGTAATGTACGAGGAAACAATCAACAACTGAATACTAGAGCTACAAATGTAATGTATGAATCAATTTACATAAAATTGGCAGGTATGGCAAGGTGGTACTGTGCTGGCAAGGAAAAGTTGACTGCAAGGACTTACTGTTCCAACCAACTCTTGTTGTGATGTTCCAGTAAATTTTTCCTTATCAAGTTTGTTTTCTTTGTTTATTGGTCTATGTCTTGATCTGTTTTTATAGTCTATGAGTTAATTTAAATCCAGTATAAATTTTTGCCTATCTCTAGTCAGTGTAAATTTTAACTAGCTTTTTACCTATGTGGGCATAATAAACATCAACTGTTGTATTATTAATTTATTGCATATTTTATAATTTTTCTCTGTTAAAATTGCTTATTTGTATGCTTTTACAGATACTGGGATACATACTGAAAGAAATAGAGGGATACAAATGTTCTTACTGTTTACATGAATCAATGAAAAAAAGCATATGTTCTGAAGCATCTCAGGTGTCACTTCAATAAATTGTAATGCCAATGAAATGTGCTCCCATTAAAATTTTATGCAATAGGAGCATAAAATTTTAATGATTAAAATTTTATGCAATGTGCAATCAATTATATTGACTTCTGTGCACAACTTAACATATTGTTGCTGTCTTGTCCAAGTAGTGCAGAGGAATCAAATTGCCGCAAAGGCATCCAAAAACAGTCCTGGCAATCTCAAAGACCTTATGCGAATCAAGCAGTTGATAGTCTGTGACGTTTGGGTGTATGTTGTAGTGTTTAGCCAGTGCAGAAGAACAATTAATAATATGACTTGCAGAAAGTTCAATTTCAGGACAGTGAGGACAAATATTGTAACTTCTTTGGCCACCTTAGGTCATTTCTTTAAAGTGTTCTGGGCGTAGTCTGGCTATGGTAGTTGAAATTACCCGGTTGCAATTAAGTTCTGGGATAGAATTCTTCTTAGGTCTTCTTAGAAGGTAAGTCTGACTATTACATCAGCTTCAGTAAGGGTTAGGCTATTGGAGAGTCGAGGGAAGTTTCGGGCTTCTTTGGCTAGATTCTAATTATAATAATAGATAAATTTAATTCACATTCTTTATCTCATTAACTTGCTTTGGTGTTATGTTTTACATACAGAGGGGCTATAAAATTTCTGTAAAACCGAAACTTATGCTGAATTTTCGAAAAGCTATTTAATGTAGAAAATAATATTTTATGTGATTTTACTGCGATTATTGTTAGAATTTTGTATTGATACTTTTTTCATAAGTCTGGCTGAAATTTGTATATAAAATGATTATTGCATTTATATTTTGTGCTACTCCATGCATTAATGTCATTGATTTTTATATAATGCCAGCTATTTACTTAAAGATTATATTTATTAAAAAAGTAATGCTAAGAGGTCTGATAAAAATAGTTAGAAGGTGTACTGTCAGTACTACAAACAAATATTATCATTTGCATCAAAACTCAAAATGTATGTCTCTTAACTATTTTTATTTGAGGTTTTCATATTCTTATGCTGTGTTCTATTTATTTCAGCTTGAAGATAAACATTTTTACTCAATATTATTTGTTGTGGAATTTCAGCTATACAACTGTTTTGAATGTAAGTTAAAAATATCTTCATAAAAGGTGATTTTTTTTCAGGAAACAGGAAACTTTTTAACTGCTCTGTGTGTTCTTTTTCCACGGAATTCAAGAGAAGTCTGAAGAGGCACATGATGGTTCATACGGGAGAAAGACCTTTCAAATGTGAAGTGTGTGGAGAAGGATTTATAGAAAATCGCAATCTCCAAGCACATATGGTTTCTCACACAGGAATTGCACCTTACACATGCAACATTTGTAATAAAGGCTTCCGGCGCAAAGATGTGTTAAAGAATCATATGAGCTTGCATTTCTTTCCAAACCTTTAGAAGTTCAGCTATTCAAAATCATGATTCAGTAATGTTTACTACAAAAAATCTAGTTAACATATTACAACATTTTAGTTTCATGGATTGTCTTGTGTTAAAAAAATTCTGTAAAGTGTGCTCTCTTTAAGTGTTCGTTAACTCCAAAATGTAGTTTTTTTAATATTTGCTACAAAAATGCTAGTTTAGTAGACATATTTTGCCTCTCAATTTTCATGATTTGACTTTTGGAAGATGTGTTAAACATTTCAATGAGTATGGTCTATTATTTTTTACCACTGAAGAGTTTATATAAGATCAATATTTATTAGTTTTTGCTGAACAAATTCCAGTTAAGTATGCGCATTTTATTTTTACTATCCCCTTTTAATGAGATGTGTTTAATGTCTATATAAGTTAGCTGCATCGCTTTTTCCGTTTTTTGAGTTTATTAAGTTAAAAATCATAATTCATTTATTTTTAACTACCTGAAATGCTATTTTATTATAAACATTTTGCCACTTTATTTTCGTAATTTAACTTCCATGAGATGTGTTAAATATTCCAATGACAATGCTATATTGTTTTTTACAATTTAAGTGTTTATTAAATATCATTATTCATAAATTTTTACTATGTAAATCCGATTTTAGTAGACACATTTTAACATTTTATTTTTAGGATTCACTTTAAAAAAGATAATATTTTGTATCTACATTGCTTTTCTCATTTTAAGAGTTTATCAATTCAAAATTATTATTTAATAATTTTAAAAAGACGAAAGCTAGTTTAGTAGATACATTATAAAATTTTACTTTAGTTTTTTTAACGATTTTACAATACAAGGCAATATACCACTTATTTTTCTGATTAGTTTCATTAGATATATTAAATACTTATATGAGTGTGATGCATCATTTTGTATCTTTTTATTAATTTAAAATCATTATTAATTAAATTTTAAAAAACAAGGGCTATTTTAGTATGTATATTACCAACATTTTATTTTTATTATTTAACTTTCATGAGATGTATTAAGAACTCATATGAGTGTATTTCATCACTTTTCACATTTTCAGAGTTTATTTCGAAAAAAAAATATTATTAATTAACGTTTTTTTGCATTCGTGTTAGCTTAGTAGATGTATTTTAACTTTTTATTTTATGATTTAACTTCTATAAATTTGTGTTTTTCAAAAAATGCCATCTTTTTAGGTTTGCAAAAATGTTTCTTTTGGTATCCCTTGTTATATAGTTCACAGCAAGACTTAAAGAAACATTTTCTAAATTTGTTCAAACTAAATCTGCTGCCTAAATAAGTGCAATGTGTATTTTAATTTTATCAAAAATAAAAATTGTTTTAAAACTTGTTTGTTAGGAATAAATCAGTACTCGAAATTTTCATGGCTTGATATAAAATATAAACAATGAAATATAAGTGAAAATAATTATGATTGGGCATGTACTTTTCCCTACCTTTCTACTCGTACCACGATATTGCATAAAGCTAACAAACAATACCAAAGGTGGGAGGGAAAAAAAACTATGTTTGACAAGATATAAGTGTTGTTGAATTTAATTATAAAGAGTTTTCCATAATTTCTATGAAAAATAAATGATTATAAAAGCTGTAATTTGCCATACAATTGAAAAAACAACATGAGTGCTTCACAGTAGATTTTAAGAAAAGTGATTTGACAACTTTTTTCCTTTTACTTACTTATGCTATAAACTCTAAAATAGAATTTCAGAAAACTCATAAAACAAAACTACTCGTGTAAAAAACTTCTTTGTTTGTAATACTTCATGCTTCTGACTTATACTTAAAATTAATGTGTTGATATAATGTTCTTTATGACTCATTAATAATGATGAGTACATTCATATGCTTTCATTAAACTGCATTTAAAAAAAAATGTTTAGGCATGAAAAAGTTTCTTTCATTGTACTTTGTTAACTAACATGCCCTGTAGGGCATGTAAAAATGTTAGGATTTTTCAAGTCCTTAAATACATGTTAATAAGATTTATTTAATTAATAAATGGATTATGAAATCATAATTAGTGTTGCACAGTTTACTTGTTTGAAAATACAGAAACTATACAAAATATTATTTTGGTCCTTTACCAAACAAAAGTTTACTCCTGAAATTTCATTCATATTAGATTTTTCATTTAATATAGCTTTAAAGTTCTGATGTTTTTTTTTAGTTGTTTTAAATTTGGAAAAAACTCTTCATCACTCGAATATATAATTTCATTATATTGTAAATATTTCTTACTTATAATTTTACAAAATTTGGTTTAAAATTCTTCTAAAGTTTGTCACTCTATCTTCAAACATGTGAGAATTCTTTTCTACTTAAAATATTAAAAGGCATTTGAATGTTAATTGTTTAACATGTTAGAAGATTATATTTTTTCTTATATTTTTGTGACTTAAATGAGAAAAATAAAACTAAAATTTTTTTTCATTTAAATTTTTATTAATTCTTTTTCAATTAATTTTTATTTTAAAGTTAATTGTAAAAGAAATTTATTTGTTTATGTATTAATTATTAAAAAAATTATTTATTCAAATTACAGCAAATGTTGTATCCCTTTATGGGAAATTAAATATTATTATTAATCTCATTTCCCATAATTTCAAATAATTACAGGCTGTTTCCAAGAGGTGTTTCTAGAAGCCTTATTTCTCGAGTATAGCTGAAGGTTACAGCTGTCTTTAAAAATCCAGACAAAGTTGGAGTTGTGCATTACCCCCAGAGGGTACTCTTTCACTTTTTTTAATTTTGCTTTTCTTACAATTATTAAATATTCAAATTATCTTAGAATAGATCTATGAAAATATATCTAGGGCTAATTTATCTTGTAAGTTATCTAGCTTAGCTAGTCAGCTTGGTAAAGCTTTATACTTAGGTACTAGGTACATAGTTTTGCCTCGTTTTTTATTATCTTTGACATGGTAATATCTAGCTAACTAGTGTCTTTGAAAACCTGTTAGACTTATCTGATCTATGTGTCTAAATATGTGTGATATGTTAATCTTCCATTTTGGGTTAAACTCGGTAGTTGTTGGTAAAATTTAATTTATTTTCAAGCCCATATATTTTGTTTTGAATAGAAATACTATCAAAAGTAAAAAGAAATTATATTTTTTTTGAAAATTGACTTATTATAAAAGTAATTTTTATTTTAAGAAAATTCATCTGAAACCTTATAATTGTCACTTATTTGTTTATAATTTGCATTTTTAAAATTTTTTTCTCTGCTATCTGTTAAGTTTTTACAGATAAAAATGAAATTCAATTATTTAAAAAAAATTGGCAAATCTTTTTGCCTAGTTGATATTAAATGAATACTGAAATGTGTATCCAAAAGAGTTGTGTTTTTTTGTAGTTATTTTAAATTTGGTTTATCTGTTTGTTTTGCAGGTCATTTCACTTCATTTAAAGAGGTGAGAGTTTACGAGTGTTTCATTTGTCCGTATTCAACAGTGCGATCAGCAGATTTGAAGAGACATATGAGGACTCATACGGGAGAGAAACCATTCAAATGTGATCTTTGTGGTAGAGGTTATTCAGATAAGCGGTTGCTTCTACGTCATTTACTGAATCATGAAGATAAAATAATACCTTTTGTCTAAATTAAGTGACATTAAAAAAGATTAAATTTTACTTTAAGTAATATAATGATCCAATAACATTGTATGGATCTAAGGAATTCTGTCTTCTTATTCTATTGTGATTTTGTTTAAAATCATAAGTGTTTTTATGTATTAATGAATGAATAGCCTGTTGATGATACAACCGATTTTGGATGATTAAAAAATATTGTGTTTTGTTATGAGTTATGGTTACATTATCAATTATGAAGTATTTTATTAAGTCATGCTTAAGGTTTATGATGTAGTTTAGAATTTGTTATTTTAAAGATTTTACTTGTTGTTCTTTTGAATGGCAACTGGTGAGTGTTCCACAATGTTTTTAGTGTTCTGTGAATAAATTATGAAAGTATTGTTGTTCTTTATTGTGATTAATAATTTTAAGTAAGTAGAAAATATAAAATTATATGTCGGAATCTTTGTTGACCCTTTTACAAACTAATGACGCTATATAGGTGGCATGACACTTTTACTTACAGGGTGCAATGTTGCTTACATGGCAGAAAAAAATCATTAGTTTTATTGCTCTCATCATTGTCATATTTACAATTAATTTAATTTGCGTAATTATAATTGATGTTGTAACAATACCTACTAAAAGAAACTTGAAATACTTCTGGACCGTTAAGGATTAAAACAAATATTGACATCTGTTTAAATTTTAATATACCTATTATTAAATTTATTAAATTAATATTAAAATTTATGTGATAAATTATTGTTTGACACAAAATTTAGCTAAATTAAAATTGAAAAGGAAGTCTTGATATGCATTGCAAGTTAAGTAGTTTGTCTATTCATGAAATAGTCACTAAAACAACTAAGCTCCTAAAACAGGAAATATAAAATGAAGAATGCATGAAAAATTCAAAATTAAGATTTTTTGAATATTTGGCATCTTTGTATGGTAAGCTACCTATTACAAAAAAACGATTTTCAAAAATTAATTTTGTTTTATCAGTTTTCTTAAAAATTCTATTTTAACTTTCATAACAAATAGCAATAGAAGGAAAATAGTTGTCAAGTCACTTTTCTTGGAATCAGTTGTGAAACATTTACATCATTTTTTTTCAATTGCATAGCAGTATAATAGTTGAAAGTTTATAAAGAATTATTCGATAGTTTATAGTATTTTAAAAAAATATTTAAAATAAAGTGATTTGTAAATTATAATTTAAAAGTAAATATAAAAATGTAATTTGTGTTTTTTTTATAAAATATTTGTAATCATATTTTAAAAATTATTTTGGAACTAATCAAGTATAGTGAAACCAGGGTAAGTTGACTGCTTAGAATGCATTGCTTTAGTGGTCAAGTTAAAGAGGGGGATTGTTTTTTCTATCGCTAATATCAATATATTATTTTTATGCATGTACACATAATCACTTAATGGGTTGCTTAAATATTACATAAGCATTGTTTTGGACTATCCCCTCTCCCCTTTGTCACAAAAAAAAGCAAATCACAATCCCCTTATATTTCTTACAAAAGTAAGGTGTGGCACTCCTTCCCCTGATCTTCCCATTTATTTCTGTTATCAATTTCAAGTTATTTATTAATTGTGTTACCAATTTAAATTAACATAAATGTAATTTTATTTGTTCTTGCCTTTAAAAGTTTATACATCTAATACTCTATGTGTCATAAAAAATTAGATTAATTAGCAGTTTGAATTGCGATTTGTTATACTCATTTAATTTTAAATTGGTACGTTTAAAAAAAGCAAAAATGTCTGCGTAATAAAAGTTTGAGTTGTATGTGAGCTATTTATTATATTCATTTCAATGTTTTAAAATTTATAGTGTCATTTTCACATGCAAACTTGTTTATTATGATAGCTCATACTATGGTTTACGAAGGGGTTAAGGCTAGTTTTAGATATTACATCTTTTACCGATTCAGTCAAATTTTAATACATATAGAAAAGAATAGGAAATTTCTGAATTTTTTTTTACTGAACTTATGAAGGGTTAAAAAGACATTTAATAACAGTAATAGACAGATTTGACTTATTTCAGCTGTCAACATACTAGATAGATTGGTAGTTAGGTTTGGGTTACAAAGGTTTTGCTCTCTTTTATTATATAGATAAAATTTGGTTCTTGATAATAGAAGTCCACTTGGCAATTTTTACCATACATGAAATGTTTTATTTTAAATAAAAATAACATATTTCCATAACTTACTTAATCATCTTTCATTTTATTTAAGAAAGATGAAATAAGTTAGCTTGTACGTTTAACGTGCTAACACTTTACATCTAATGTAATTTTTTTGACCCGTCAACTGTAAATTTTGAATGCCCTAACTGAGTTTGGAAAAGAGGAAAATCGATGTTTTTATTTCCTTGATTTCAAATTGAGCTTGTTTTCTTTTTTAAATACTTAATATTATTTATTTTACTCTTATTTTTAAATGCAGTATACTCTTGATTGATTAGGTTGGTTGGAAAAAGCCTCATCCTAAATAATCAGCTATCCCAAATGACAAATACAACAAATGTAAATTTTGTTAGACAAATTTTGGTGAAATTTTTTTAAAGAGTATAGAATAAATAATATAATTTTTAAAAAGTATAGAAAAAGAATATTATAATAGGACATAAATAATTTATATATTATGAAATCATAATTTATAATATTAGAAAGTCATAATTTTTTCCCCTCTTAAATAGTTTTGTGCATGTAGGAAACCTCACTATATTTTCCAGCTACAAATGCCTGAATACCTGTCAATATCGAAATAGGAGAAGAATAACCTTTTATATCACATTTTTCTGATTACAGAGGGTGGGAAAATTACAGTGTGAACAATTGGAAGCTGTAAAAAGGAAAATATCCAAACCGCAGTGGGTTAAGTTATAAAGGATTACTAATATAGGCAATTACTGGTGGTAAGTGTTTCGTTTGTTTAGTCTGAATGTTAGTTAATTTTTTTTTCATTTTTTACCCATTTGTTCCAGAGGTCTTCACAAATATAGAGTTGTGGTATTTTTTCTTATTGTTTGAATTTGATTTGTGTCTTTTTCTGTTACAGCATACAGGTATAAAGAGATGAAAGTGTATGCATGCTCCTTTTGTACATACTCTACAGTGAGATCAGCAGATTTAAAGAGACATTTGAGAACTCACACAGGAGAAAAACCTTTCAGATGTGATTATTGTGACAAATGTTATTCAGATAAACGTTTGCTTCAATTGCATGTAATGAATCACAAGGGAAGAAAAATACCTTTCTAAGACAAATTTCACAAAAAAGTAAACGTTCTATTTAAGAACTACGATTTAAGAACTTTAAAATATGATATGAATTAATTGTGTGTTTTTATTAGCACTAGACATATATCTAGAAGTAAATAACCTTAAATATGGTTTCATCTTTTCTAAGGAGTAGTTTTGGAATTACAACATTTAATTTTCTTGTTTCTCAATGACTGATTCATATCATAGTTTTGTTGTGTATTAGAAAAGATTATTGTTGAAAATAACTTGATTTTTGATAACACAATTATGACTGACTTTTTTTCTTCATTGTTATAAGATACAGTTGTATTTTCTTATTTACTAAGACCCATTAATTTGTGAACGTAAGTAATTAATGATATATTAATAAGTGAAACAAATTAGATTGAAACTGATTAATGAATTATTGTATTTTTAATACTTTAGTATGAATTCCTATAGGAACAATCATTGTTTTGTTGTATATCAGAAAATTATTGATGATACCTCTCCTGATTTTCGATAACACAATTATGACAACAGCTTTTTCCCCCTCATTGTTATGAGTTTCTAGTTCCTAATTTATCAAAATCAACATGAGTAATTACTATGTGCATGTATAATATATTAATATGTAAAAAAAAAAAAAACATTTTAAAATTGAAGGAATGAATTGTTTTGTTTAAAACCTATGGGATGAATTTCTATGGATGATTCATCACCTGAGTTCATCAATAATTTTTTGATACACAACAAAGTTTAAATGTTTTTGATTACAAAATTATCATTGTTATGAGTTTTGGTTGTATTTCTTAATTTATGAAGACCAAGGTATGTAATTATTATTTTAATATATTATGTTTGTATTAATATGTAAACTTAACTATATTAAAACTGATGATACATGTTTAAGATTGATACATGTATAAGATTGATACATGTTATTTTTTGCTGTGTGTTAGAAAGTTGTTGATGAGTAATCACCCGATGTTGGATAGCACCAACAATTGGGATGAAAGCTATCCTTATTTATGAATTACAGTTGTACTTCTTATTTATGAAATTCAAAACAAGTTAGTACATAATAGTATGTGAAACAGACAAAATTAAATATAATGAAATAAATTATTGTTTCATTTAAAACTTATACTGCTTTGTTGGATGTTAGAAAACTACTGATGATTCACATCTGTACTAATTAAAACGTATGAAATAGATAATGATTTTATTTAGAACTTATGATGTAGATTCATATAAAACTGATTCATAAAATTTTTTTGTTGTTGTGTAACAGAAAACTGTCAATGATTCATCTCCTGATATTGGATAACACCAATAAATATGATGACAGTTTTATTAATTGCAATTGTATTTCTTTATTTAAAAAATACACTGACTAATATACAACATTAATGTGCTGAATAATAACACTGAATAATATAAATATTTATGCATGAAATTAATGGAATGTATTATTGTTTTGTTTAAAAATTATTGGATAGATTTTCATAAAATGAGAAATGATGGAAACATTTAATGAAGCTAGATAGTTTAACTAATATTAATTGGCAGGATATTTAAATTTGAAATAATACTTACCATTAAGAGAAAAAGCTAAAACTTTGTGTTCCTATTGGTTCCTATTTTGTCTTAAAGTTTTAATTTATTACAAAGTAGAATTCTTCCTTAATGTCTTCAGATTAAAGTAAGAGAAATACATTTAAATTACACAACTTTTTTGTAAAAATAGTTTTTATGTATAAAGATAATGTTTTATCAAATTTGCAAGGAATACTACATTATCTGTACATCACATAAGTTTTAAAATATTTTGCTTAACTATATTTATCCAACAGAAAAAAAAATGAAAATGAAAACTTTATACAGAGACTATATAAAATCAAAATGTAGTGGGAAAATAATAATTTTTGCGAACATGATTTGTAGTTAACGTAGTATGTTGTAACATTTCTTCAATACTTAAAAATGTAATTTGTTAAAGGTTTGAAGATAATGTTTTCGATCAAATCAATTATCTGTGTGTTTCTGAAAAAAGAAAACTACTACATTTAAATATTAAAAAAATGTTAAATGAATCATTAATATGTTTGTAATTTAATAAGTACAAAGTTGTGATTGATTTAATTTATAATTAATCCGAGAAAATATGTTTTTTCTATTTTAGAGTCAAAGAGTTATGTTCTTTTTATTTTTCTTTGATTTGAACTTATATTATTTATTTTATTAAAAAAAAATGTAACAGTGGAACAATTGAAATAAAAAAATATAACTTAAGAAGTATGGAGCTATTTTATATTTAAATTGTGTGTATTTAGCATATGGGTTAGTCCCCTGACTAGGAGTTTTGGAAACTTGCTCCAAGATATTCTGACGATGCAAACAGACGGAAATGTTTAATCAGTTTAAATCTTAAGAGAAGAGTGAAGATGCTCTATCCTTCTATTTTTGATATATGCAAACGATTCTGTGTTGAGCTCAAATGTTTAAAATATAAACCTTTCATTTTAATACAGAATATTTTCCACTGCTGCTCTGGCAGTAATTTTACTGTAACTTTATCATATAAAAAAAAAATCATGTAAAATGCTTTTTAGAAATTGAAAATTTTATTGGCACATTTTAAGCATGACAATCATTCCAGATTCTACGAGAATATTCCATAAGTTTCTGAAAATTGTAAATTCTATTTTATTATTTTAAAATTAGATGTATTTTTATAGGATATGCTTATCAACTGAAACCATATGCATACATTAAAATTTTTTAAAACTTTTTCATTATTTATTTTTTAAATTTTTTTAAGTTTCATACTTTCTTTGTATGATATGCTTATTTAATCAAAATGTATTCATTTATATGGCTTATTGAAAAAGGTTGTTTTATTGTTTCTTGTTTTAAAATTTATTTTTTCCTTTAGGATATGCTTATAAAGAAGTAAAAATGTATGCATGTATGAAAAATTGACAAAGATGTTTATCTATAAATCTTTTATTTGTTTTTATTTTTGTTTATTTTTCAAAACTAATGTTTATTTTTTATAGGATATGGCTCTAAAGATGTGAAAGTGTATGCATGCTCTTTTTGTACATACTCTACAGTGAGATCATCACATTTGAAGAGGCATATGAGGACTCATACGGGAGAGAAACCTTTCAGATGTGATTATTGTGACAAATGTTATTCAGATAAACGTTTGCTTCAACTGCATTCCATGAATCATCACAAGGACAGAAAAATGCCTTTTTTGTAATGCAAGTTTTATGAGAAGTTTAATATCATATAAGTATTAAGGTTAATGCATTTTTATGACATGAAACAATCCTGTTATGAATAATCACATTAAATACTGTTAGCTATTTATCCAACAGTTCTGATTTAGAATTCTTCTTCTATAGTATTTACTTTATACTGAATAATTCACATCATTGCATTGTATGTTTGTCTGAAAACTGTTGATGATTTATATATTTATTTTGTGTGCTGCAGGTTTTGAATAGATGCGAGACCCATGCTTTATTATGATAACATTTTAGATGTATGAAAACAGCAGCTCAATCAAAAGTATTGAATTTTTGTAGAAAAATTTTATATTTAATACATGATAGTATTATACTAGATGCCTGGTGGCTGAGTGGTGGTGCTTTGTTCTCTTGTGCCACAGGTCCTGGGTTCAAACCTAGGGCCGGGAAAGGTTGACTGAGAATTTCATCTCTTCAGTGGGGTGATAAAATGAATACCAAGCGTGCTTGGGGACTAAACATTGGGGGTTCCGCTTTTGGTTGACCACCTAAACGGAACATCTGCCCCTGCAGATGGGCACAGTAGGCTTTAACGCTCTATAGACTGTTGGGCCACTGAGTATAGTTTGGTAATATTATAATAAGTGTATAAAAATGATTGTTTAAAAAAATGTCTTTTTAGGTAAAAGTAAGATATGTAGTTATGTTTGTGTAACATGAATTTAGATGGGTGTAAGAAAATTAGTAAAGCAAGTCATCCTGTCTTTTATACAAATTTTATCGAACAAATTAAAAAATAAATAAATAAAAGGCTAGTCTAAAATTGAATTTTCCTTCTTTTTTTAAAAAATACTCTTTTAATAGATGTTGAATCGTCCATGAAAAAAAGAAAGACTTTAGAAGTGTCTGACATTTGTAAGTGCTATTTTTTCATTCATAAAGTTATCAATTGCGATTTCTTTTATTTTATCTTCATAGCAAATGTGTTGTTGTCATTCAAGACTGTTAGCCCTCATTCATAAATCTATCAGATGTCTTTTTGCATGACACATTTATTTTCGTCTCTTTATTTTAAATCCAAAAATATATTACAAAAAGTCATGGAAATGCTTAAAGAAATTGGAATTCAAAATTGTATGAATGTTAGTCAATGTAAGCTAAATTCTTTATATTAGAAAATTCTGAATCTAGTCTTCATCTTTTTTTTCCATTTTAGGATATATTCATAAAGGGAAGAAAATGCATGCATGTACTTGCTGTTCATTTTCAACGATTAGGTTAAGTGATATGAAGAGGCATATGAGGACGCATACAGGAGAGAAACCTTTCAAATGTGATTTGTGTAATAAATGTTATACAGATAAACGTTCGCTTCAATTGCATTTGCTAAATCATCAGGGAAAAAAATTATTTTTGTAACACTTCATACAATTTATGAGATATTATTGTTTGTGCATTTTTAAAACACTCTCTTATGTTTATTAAGACGTTGAACTGTTTGAATGATTTGATTCAGAATCATTTGTCTTGCGTGGATACTGTCATTGCACATTTTAGTTTATTTTCTTTATGTGGTTAAGACCAAACTTCATTGTAATCGTCTGTGGATGGTTGACTGAATGTAAACAATAAAAAGCTTCCTAAAATCGGATGAAATTTAAAAAACTTCCGGTGTATCTCTCCGTTTATGTCATGCTTACGAGGCGATATGTGAACTGGTTTCAAATTCTAGGAAGTTTTTTATTGTGATTTGAGTTTAAATTTACACGTTATTTTCCCATTCATAAGTTTTTTCGATAAGTTATAAATTTTAACAGATCGTGAACCCAAAACAAATTTAGCAAAATTAATATCGCAGAATAAATAAAGTGTAAGGTTTGCCATGTATGGAATGTTATCCTCTATTTGGCTATATTTGTGTAAAATAGCACTGTTCGTTATTTTTTGGTGAGTATTACAGAGAGCTTGCAGAGTCTTCCAAATTCAACTGTTGTCTGTTTCGTTGAAAGTTAGATTGAAAACGCTGCAAGTATAATAACATTGGATGGCATGTTTTTTCAAACTTAGCGTAAAAATCAGTCGGAAGTAGTAACCCGGAAGTCTTATGAGGAATTTTATCCCCTAGTGCCATCTGCGCTTAGCTTTACATGGTCAACCACCTATACACTATAGAGGCTCGCTCCGTATCAAAATTTAATCTATATGGTATCTAAACTCTAGTGAATCGTGGGTGCAGCCAAGATAACTAGTTGCTTGCGTTGCTTTACATACTAAATTTCAACATTAAGAAAGCTTGTCAAAAAAAAAGAAAAAAGAAAAGAATAATCATATCCAGGAACTTAACTTAATATTTTCATGTTGGGAAGAGCATTGTTTTTACTGTATGTTTGGAATGTTTTCTTTGAAAAAAAAAGATCTGTATTTGTCATTTGTTTTGTATGTATGTTGTTCTAAGAGCATCATTATTAAGCATCATTAGCAACCTTGGAATAATAAATGAGATTTTGTTGTTGTAAAGAACTATATTTTGTTTTTGAAATGATTCAATACATTGCAATAATTATTTTGAAATAAGGCTATATAGTTTCAAATTCTCTTTGTTAATTTAAATATTATAAATAAAATTATTATAAATAAAAAAAATAAAGAATCATAAATGATTGTTAAAAATATCTCTACCTTATAAAATATTAATAGTGTTAGTTTTGAGTTTTCTTGTGTTTCTATAAAGCTAAATTGAAATCATAAATCTGATTTTACATTACGAATGAAAAATATAATTTTATAAATTTGCTTTGTCCAGATATAACTAGAACTAATGGCAAAACGTAGCAGACGGAGAGCGTTTTCAACATATTGGAAAAAATGGTGCTTTTAGAACAGTCTAATTAAGTATAATTTAAGTATAAACGTGACAGTTTAGTTACTGATCTAGCTTACCTTTGGCTTTGTGAATTCAGGATATCTATTTATTATTTCTATTCTGATACCTTTAAACTTAAAACTTTTAAAATGTTCTTCTGTAACTTTTTAAAAAAAAATATTTTTGTTACGAGATAATTGCTGAATAAATGCAATATGATGGAAGAAGCTCTGGTCGAATGTTAAATCTATTTATATTATTGCAGTATGCAATTTGTAAGTATATATACAAGTAGAAAACATTCTTACATGCATGTAGGAAACATTTTATATGCTGGATGACCTGAATTATTGGACGGTTTACAAAAATGTATTATAGGATAATGATTAAGGTTTGAAAACACAATTATAATTTAAAATTAAGGTTAAAAACGAAGGTTGTTGCAATTAAGATTAAAAGCTCAAAAAATCCTAAATTAGGGAGATGGTTTACAAAAATGCATTTTAGAAAAATGATTAACGTTTAAATATACAATTATAATTTAAAATTAAGGTAATTACATTTAAGGTTCAAAATACAAAAAGACCTAACTTAGAGAGTTTACCAAAATGGTTAAGGATAAAAACTTAAAAAAGTCATAAATTTGTGAGACTGATTACAAAAATATATATCAGGAAAATGATTTAGGATAAAAGTACAATTTGCAATTCAGGTTAAAAATTAAGATAATTACGTTTAAAGTTAGGAATACAAAAAGTCATAAATTTGACAGATGGTTTACAAAAATATATCAGGGGCTAAAGTTCAAGATGCAATTTTAGTAAGAAACAAGTTTTCAGGTTTTAGTTAAAATTTTTCTGATGGATTACACTATGAATAGTTAACGGACAAACTGACAAAAAATAATAAAAAATCATGCTATAACATATATTATGCATTTCTTTATAGGGGACATGCATGAGGTAGATTTTTCAAAAATTATTGTAAAATTATCACAAAAATCTGTAAAAGTTTGAGAATTTTGCTTTGAAAATTTGATTTGCTTTGGAGAATTTGGTTTTTTGGAATTTTAGTTTGGTATTACATGTTCTTTATTTTTATATATTATTTGCTCGGAAAAAATTAATTATAGGTATTATTTGAGGTTTGCTTAAAAAATATTTTTTCCAGTGGTAGTAAACTCGAGTAGAAATTTAAAAAACTTTGATCAGAATTTAAGAACTTTTTTCTAGAATTTCGCTGACTCTGAATATTTTCTGAAACTAAGGAAATTCCTGAATGATTGAAGGATATGTAAGCAGAATTTAATATTATTTCGTAGTTTTATTTTTTTCATATCAATTCATACAACATCCAAAATAGGGGTTGTGGTTTAAATTAACTAGATTTATCTCAATTAATCAAGTCATGCTAATCTTAGTATGTTATAAATATCTGAATGGTTTTATGTTTAGACATGCATTACTTTCTTTTCAGCTTCCTTTGTTTGTCATAAGCTTGATTTAAATGAATCATTTGGTTTTATCATTAAAATTTAATTAATTTACTGTCGAAAAAATATTTTCAATTAACATGTTTTTTTTAAAATTTTTTATTGGTGTTAAAGGTATGTTAAAAGAAAAATAATGTAATAGACATGTATTTGTATTGTATTTTCCATTGTAATAAATTGTATTCTGATAGAAATGTCTAGAAATATTCTGAATATTATTTTAACTTTTCTTTTGCAATGTAGAATACTTGCTTCAAGGATATATAATATATTTTGCTAGAGAGAAATAATGAAAATTACTGTGTCACTTAATGTTTAAATATAATTTGTTAATTATGTCAGATAATTATTATTTTAGTATTTCTGTCTTCTATTTTCAGTTTCAAACGTAGAATCATTATTTAATGAATGTAATTCGTCTCATTAATGAGAAAAGGTTTAAATAATTTTTTGAAAAAAAAAAGTTTTTATATGAAGGGTTTTGGGCTATATAATGATAAGTCACATTTTCAAATTGTTCAGATCATCTTTTTAAGGAGTATTTTTGCTGAAAAAAATGTGTTTTTCATTAAGGCAACAAGATGTTGTCCTGCACTGTGTAGTTCTTAAATGGGTATTGGGGAAAAGTACCTACCTGGAAACATTACCAAGAAACAATATGATATTGAAATCTTACATTTGGAAAAATTGGGGCATATGACTATGTATCCTAAGTCTTTCATATGTTAACTGGGTATTTGAACCATCTAATGATTATTGAACTTTTTAATAACAATTATTTTTCATTAAACTTTTAATCTAGTTATCTAGTTTAACGAGTCCTTAATAGTAGTTAGTTATACCTTTCTTTGTTGTGTAATTTTACTCAAATTATAATTATTAGACTCATTATAATTGGAAAATAGCTACAAACATTGATAATATAGTCAAACAGTTTCACTAAAAACTGCATTTCTTTGCTTTAAAAGATGAACTGTTTGGTAAATTATCAGAATAAGCTTTATATACATATATATGTATATATACACAGCATACTCTCGATATCTCGAAAATCTTGTTATGTTGAATTTTTTTCGAAATATAAAATAAATTTTTCGGAAAAATCACAATGTAAGTTTATTATAAACCAATTCTTTTCTTTTTAATGCATAGTTATTTTTGTTTTACTTTAAAAATAAAATTATTGTTGCTGTTTTTAGGTTTATAGTCAACTATCATTACACACATATTTATTAGTAGTTATTCTTAAGTTTCTTAACTTTATAGAGTCAAAAAACATAAGATCTACTCTCAAGAGATATTATCTACTATTAAGAAGGTATTAGCTACTTAATATTCTAGAATATATTTTTCTACTTTTTAGAACATGTTTAGTTCTGAACTTGTTATCTCGTAAGCTCGCTACCTCGAAATTTTCTTAGCGTCCCTTCAACTTTGAGATATTGAGAGTATACTGTATATACAGTTACCTCTCATTCCTTTTTCATTTATACAACGGTTTTCAAAGCTCTCTGCTCATTATATAGGAAAATAATGATAATTATCACTCGTTTGCACTGAAAATTAATTTTTTAATTCTGCGCCAAAAGGTTTCTTAGAATTAGCAAAAATTTTAATTTTTTTTAAATAGAAAAAAAAGCACTTTTTTTAGAAAATAGTTTTTAGATTAAAAATTAAAGCAAATAAATTATCTTTGTTACAGTTAAAATGAAATATGTTGCTGGATCCAGTGTAATAGTTCATTTTTGTACCCCTTGAAACTTTTTCACCTTTGTTGTTTCTAGGAAGACATTTTTTCTACAATTTCGAATAGGATGTCTTATCTATTACATTGGAAACCCATTCTTCTTTAAGAAAAGACCCTTTGCTCAAACCCACCTGTTAGTTTTACTCTGCTGTTTTCTAAGAAAAGGACACATGGAATATGAAAGTGACCATGGTCACTTGTTTGCCATCAGATAGACATCTTTGGTAAATAAAAGATGATCTGTTTAGTGACCATAGTGATCAAACAACCCGTTATGCAGCATGTTATGACATCAAAGAATTTCTTTACACTTGCCTTAAAATTTTATCATGCACCGTTTCTCCCTATAATAAAACTTTAGCTTTTGGTAAAGGACTGTTAAGTTATAGCGATTATTATTATTATTCAGTTTTAGCGATAACGAAGATGATGAAAAAGTTCCTCCATTTCATACAAAAGCATTAGAAGGTTTAACAACTATTCATGACTATTTGCAGTTTAATTTAACTACCGAAACTCCCTTTTCTTATTTATTTGATGTTGAAGAAACTATTTTTTAATTTCATCAGTAAAAGTAAAAATAAACCTGTAACATGAACTATTTTGTAACAAAATAAATTCTTATTAAGTGCATTACAATTTTTTTCTTTGTATAGTTATAGTAAATACCGTATCATTATAAATGTTAACATTTAATAATTAGAAATAATTTTATTCATACTTTCACTGCAATTTATGTTTTCAAGAAACTGGAATGGAATTTCACTTATGCATCTCTCACTAATGCGCTATTTTCTCCTTGGTCCCTTAAACCGGAATATAAGTGAGAGTTCACTGTATGTACAATTTCTTTACTCTGTTTCTGTTCATTTATTTGTGCTTTATTCACATTGCTTTCCTTTATTCATATGAATTCTATTCATAAGTGGACGTTTACTTGGGTGTTTGCTGATGAGGTTGCATATCCTTTTAAAAGTAAAAAAAACCTAGAACATGTAGTGTACTCAAATTAATTGTGATATATTTTATATACTATCTATGCATTGTTATGCCTTAGTTGTTCAATATCCACTCTAATGTCCTTGTCACTTATAAAGCGGACAAGTCCATGTGTGGTTGGGAAGTGT